TTTTGAAAGAACATGTGACATGCCTTCTAGGAGAAGAAGATATTAATTTTTTAGGTATATGGTTTTCTAAAAATCAAACACCTTAATCTCTATCCACCTATAGAACAAAAATGACTAGGAAGAGCTTTTAAAAGAAATCAAACGCTTTACCCAACTCGAGTTGGAAGATAGTCACGTCTTTTAGGGTTTTTTTTTCCTAATATAAAACAAATGTTCAAATTATGACAAGAGAGTCCTTTGTCTCTTGATGCACAATAGATAACTTTTTTTTTTTTTTTAATTTCAAAGATCCCGGTTTTTGTTAAACCTAATCAATTTCTTAACCAAAAAAAAATGTATTTTCACACATGTACGTAGCCAAAGATTCATGCAACTCAAAAATCAAAAAAGGAAGATTTGGGTATGCAACTATGCATCACCCCTTAGCTTTATTACAAGTCCCCACACATTCATAAAACCTAAACCTCCTTTGTAGATCTTGCCAATTATTTTATTCAACATCTACCTTTTAAATCATTAAATATTTATAAAGAATAATTATTTTTCTCATCAGAATATCATGTTTTTTTTTATTTATCCAATTATATATAAAGTAAAAGTTGTTATAATTGAAAGATTTTTTCGAAATACAGTGGCATGATAAACATAAGTAAAAATATAATGGTTCAATAAAAATAAATAGCTACTATAAACTAAACACCATGATTCTTACAAGATTACAGACATGGCACTTATAATAATGCACTTAACACTTAAGAGTAAAATGTAAACACTTTTAGTTAATTTTGTTGATTGAATTCCATCATAATACTTGTGGCTCAAGAAGTCATATTATTCAGGTTTAGGGCATACGTGTTTTAAACAGAACAGGAGAGGTCGGGAGGGGGTTATTTTTCACGTAAAAAGCCAAATCAAGAATAAAAGAAGGGTTAAAGTGAGACGTAATCTCGTATGACAACTGGCTAACATGGATGACAAAAGAAGGTGATGAGTTTTGATTAGCAACGATATATGGATGACAATAAAAGATTTGCGTGGTTTTCTTATGTAAAACTAATACAAATGTACATGATGAAAGCATTTGTGTACTACTTCAACAAGCCAATAATTGATGGAGAAAAGGCAATGATATGTCATACATAAAGATTGACATATATACAATGTATATCTCCCTAAATCTTTTGGTCGTGAAATGCATGTATGAAACAAGTAAACAATGACGAATGCACAACTACTCATCATGGTTATTTAGGACTTTAAGCTATGTATGGAATTGGTATATGAGATAAATATGCATGCAAGCATAGAGTTGTGCAACAATATACATTTGTAGCTGTTAGCTATGGGTTAATTTTGAGAATTTCAATATCATGTATGTGCACGTTTAAACATAATTTTACGTGTCTTGTGAGTTTGGTCATCTTTTAGAAAATATAACTTATGAATTTAAATGATGAATATGTATGTTATTCGATCACATCCGCTCAGTACACATTAGTTTCAAGATTGAAATCTAGATGTATCATATGATATCAAAACTTAATTATAAAATCATGTTCACATATACACAATGATTGATACTAGGACATTTGTCACTTGGACTATATGTATTTAATTTGGCTTTATCATTTATAAATATTTTTTTCTTGTTTTAGAACCTCATCTTGTTTCAGTTTTTTCCTAAGGGTTGATCGATAAACTGGAACCATTAAGTGTTGTGTAACTCTAATCGCTTGATTGTTTGGAGAAAGTAGGTTCCTTAATTATTTAGAAGTTTTTTTTTTAGAGGTCATTCAAAGACTGGATTACACGGATTACACGTATTGAATGTTGATTGATTCAGTTGTTACATTTGAATAACAACCCTTTAAACTATCCAAGTAAATGCAATGTCAGTGGTCTTTCAAGTGTACCATATTAGCTTTTTCATTTACCTCTATAGCATTCTAATACAAATTGCATTGCTCTATCAGAAATGGGTTTTATTGACACGACAACAACTTTATACATGTTAACAAATATTGTAATTAGTTATAGTCAGGCCAACCCTATGTATGTGTGGTGTGTGCCACCACATAGGGTATGTGTCATTTAGAGGCCTGATTTTTTTACGTATATTATTATTGGCGACGGATTAGTAACCGATTAATAAGGATTACTTACGGATCAATGACACATGTTTCTTTTGCTTAATTTTGTAACCCTTGTCAACTTATCAATGATTTTTATTAGATAAACTAGAAAAGATTCTGAGGCGTTGCCGAGGTCGGAAGGTATTGCTTTGTAAAGTAAAGTAGCATGTTGGTTGCTTTTTGTCCGTTAATGTGAGGGTAATTTGGTCTTTTCAGGTAGTAGGGACTGAATTTGTCACCATGGGTAAACCATATGGACCATTTATGTAATTTTGGCGGCGGTGGTGGTGGTGGTGATGGAAGATGGTGGGTGGGTATTTTCTAATAAATAAAACATTAATTTAAAACCAAAAAGAGAATGTTAAATCTGGTAAACCACAGGGACCAATCGTGTAATTCTGTCTAACAATAATAATAATAATGATGAGGGACCATTTCTGCGAAAAGACAAAATACTAATAATTTGTAATAAAAGGCGAGGGTTATGAAAAATTCAAACCAAAGTGAAAGGGTTGTTTGTGAACAAAAACATAAAGATGAAGGGTCAATGTTGTAAGTTGGAGGACCAAAATTGACAAAAAAGGTGTCACTTTACTGTTAAAATCTTTCATAACTTTAATATATATATAATAATAAATTATATATTCAAAGGCCTATTTTTATTTTTCGCACACACTTTAAAGTTAACGGATCGGCTCTGTTTATAGTTAATAATTATTCAGTAATATATTAACATTGTATAGAATTATTCATAATTTAAATAATAAAAAATAATAATTATTTGTAATAGGTCAAACTACGTCATATATATATATATATATATATATATATATATATATATATATATATATATATATATATATAATATGTGGATAACATCTATTGTGTGGACGTAAGGACAATTTCGGACCAATCATTTTGGAGTAATATACACTTTTTTTATATCATCATTTTAGGCAATTAATTAATCAAATCCATAAATTTAGGAAACTTATCCAAATCAAATTAATTATATTAATTATTATTTATAATACTTAAAGAAAACTTGTATATTTTTCCGGTCCCCTCCAAAAATATAATTTCAAATTGAAGAGCATTCTTAAAGAATATTTATAAATATTCTTTAAAACAAAACATAATTTTAAAAGAATTACAAAAACAACATAGTAAATTTTTTCTAAATTTGAAACAATTCTTAAAAGAAAACTCTTCATTTGATGTGACGACAAATAAAGAATGAAGAATCAAAATCATTCTTATTGGAAAACTATATCAAAAGAATTAGAATTCTTAAAGAATATGCAATAATCTTACAGAATGTGATGTATTTTTTAAAAGAATGTGAGGTATTCTAAAAGAATGTAGACTACTTGCATGACATAACATTATAACAAACACAAACAAAATGCAAGGAAATAATAAGTATGTGAAAAGGTTCATATCTAGGCAAACTAATCCAATCATAAAAATGCACTTATTTGCATGTTAAACAAATGATGCGTTGAACAATCAAACTTGACCAAAAGTGATATAACAAATTCCAAAAATATTGCTACCTTTGAGCATCCCTTTGCTATCTGTGCAAGAGCGATAAGTGCATCATGATGTTTCTGCCACTCAGGGGCAGCCAAGTAAGCCGACAACTGTTCACATGCAACAGGGACAATGGTATTCCCACCTAGAGCAATAGCCAACCGATCCAAGCACTCCTGCCCAACACTATAATTACTTGACTCTCCTGCATCTTCGTCCTCATTTTCAACAGTATGCCAAGCAGGTTCATCCTCGACATCCAGCAACATCTGCAATAAAATACAGAACAACCTGCTGATAAATTGTGGCAACTTCCTCGTCATACTAGGTGCCCTCTCTCTAGCCTCTGCTAGCGTGATCATAAACTCAATGGCTAGGTGTCGTGTGCCCTCTTCTAGAGTATCTGCTTCAGCTATCTGCAACATAGACCCCACCACCTCCACTAACTGCCTCCTCAAGAACCTAGTCTCAGTCCCTGCCAACTCAATCAACAATTCCAATGCCTCTTGAGCAGTAGCCTCTTGTCCGCCATTTAAATCTTCAGTCAAAGTCGTCATCATCGCTGGAAGTAAATCCTGGAACCGATCCCTATCACCAGAACTCGAAAAACACTGAATAAAATTAATTACAGGACCCAAAGCAGCAATCCTCACGTCTGAGCTCCCCGACTTAGTCAAGCACTGTAAAAACACGCCATGAAGATGCTTTATGTGTGGAATTAAAGTCTCCCCAATGTATTGTGTCAACTGCGCAAATATCAAAAACGTAGATTCTTGAAGCTTGGGAGAATCGGAAGAAACGCACTGAAACATAAACGACAACAGTTTCGGCCAACCGTTATCAGGCAGGATACTTGAAGCCAATTCCGAGATTGTATCGCATAGCTTCTTCATTATCGTTTTCGCTTCTTCTTGTTGCACACAAATCAAAAGAATATATTTAAGTGAAACCTGAGTCGTCGGAGATAACCGATTCCATACCAATGAATCATTAAATTAATTACCTAAATAAAAGGGATTAAGGATTTAATTATTTATTTTACCAAAATTAATATTGTAAAATGATTGGTTCATACTAATCCCTACATCCACACAATAATTGTTCATCCACATATGAACCTATATATTATATATATATATATATATATATATATATATATATATATATATATATATATATTCACTATAGTTCTTTTATGTCTGCTGTTTATTAAATTTGTACTAATGTATTTTATAATATTTAGGTTAGTTCAGTAAGCATTACTTAAATATTTTTAATATGAAAATATATTTTACATAAAATAAATAAACTATTAATCAAAACATAATAATAAAATCATAATGCAACAGTTTTTAACTGAAATGTGGGGCCAAAATTGCAAGTCTTGAAAGAAGGCGACTACCTTGCCAATCATTTGTGTTATCATCCCATCAGATATTCAATATTAGCAACCACTAACAATTACCAATTTGTTTTTCAAAAAATCTTAATTTTAATTAACATTCTTTGGTTAAGAGACTCTAACCTTATTTACTTGCTAAAAAATGGAATGCAACAGGTAGTGTGGGATTTCAGGCCCAAGTTAATTTTAAATTGGGTACTAAAAACTTAGCTTGGTTATTCACCCTATACGGGCGGGCTATACGTGAAACTTTTACTAGTCTTTCCTAGGGCTGGATACGAAACACATACATTTTATTGTTCGGGCATCTCAATTCTTATGCTTTAATATGATGATTCATGAATCATGGAGAATCAAAAGATACTATTATCTAATTTACCAACTAAAAATTCTTATATAACGTGAGCAATGTTTTTATATTTGCATTGTTAAAAGTTGAAATATACATCTTTATATTTGTTCCGAGAATTTAACGATTTTTTATCCAAAAAATTATTCACTTGATAATATATGTATACTATTATATAATGTATGTATGGTTATGGGATCGACTTTCATCTAAAAAGAACTTATCTTGGCCATAAAGACATCACCCCTAAAACATAATGTATCGTGATTGACCTCCTGCATAGGTCATGAGACGGGTTAACGTAAACCCTTAAGATGGTGTGGTTTGATGCATAAAAAGTACACTCATACTACTCACATGCAAATTACATGCACACTCAGACACAGATCCCTCTTTTGACATTGTCTCGTCCGATGAGCACATTTTACACTCTTCTATTTCTATTTATAAACCCTAATATTTGCTTCTCTTTCTCTTTCTTTCTTTCTTTATCCCTCTCTTTATATATATATATATATATATATATATATATATATATATATATATATATATGTGTGTGTGTGTGTGTGTTTAGGTTCTATGGAAAACAAAAAACCCTAAAAAAACCCTAAAAATCATAAAAATGCATAAAAAAAATATTTAGAGATCACAAAAAATATTTTTGAATTTTTTTTATAAAAAATCGCAGGTTTTTGTTGAAATTCGCTGAAAAAAAAATAAAAAATCATTTTTTTTTTTGTAAAAAAAAAATTTCAAAATTTTTTTCACCGATTTTGTATAAAAAGCTGCGATATTTTCAAAAAAAAAATTTGTGATCTCTAAGTATTTTTTTTATGCATTTTTATGATTTTTAGGGTTTTTTTGTTTTCCAAATAACTCTTCCCTATATATATATATATATATATATATATATATATATATATATATATATATCTATATATATATATATATATATATATATATATATATACCCTAATCTACAATTTAACCATAAGTTACAGCCATCATCACTTGTTTTCACTATTGGTTATACTTCATCATCACACACCTCCACCATCCTCAAACACCATTTCCCTTGCTTGCTTATTTTTTGTAGGTTTGGTTTGGTGGTTTAGTGTTGTGTGTTCATGGATCGATTATATCATAATATGTTTTTGATCCATGTACGTATGACAAATTGTATGATTCGTGTGAGTGTGTCAAATGTTTTTGATATGTGTGGTTTTGTTGTGTGGGTTTGTGGTTGGCTTGTTGGTGGTTTCTAGATGACTTTGTCTTTAGATATGTTTCTAGACGTGTTTGTTTATAGGTTTGGGTACAATTTACCCTAATTTATATGTAGATAGGGTTTTACAGGTTTGTAACGTCCCAAAAATTCATAGTAAAATTTTCATTCTAAAAACAGTAAACCATACAAACGAGTTGTTCCAAAACCAATTAAAGTGAATATATCATTTAAACATCAGAGTAAAAATCATAAACAGCCGATGCGGAAAACTCTGGGGGATGATGTGCAGTCACGCTTGGCCCTTCCCTTTGGAACCGGAAGTACCTGAAACCATAAACATGAAACTGTATGCACAAAGCTTAGTAAGTTCCCCCAAATACCACATACCATACATAGAATAGAGAATGATATGTGTCATCCATAGTCGTACAATTACCATAATGTCATGAGTCGTATCATGGTCTTTCCTTTCCAAGCCAGGGGGAAACCCAGTTCTTACAAACAAGTGCCGAGAGCCACCTCCTGATCTTCCATGCAAGTATCACAAAGACAACTAGCATCCCACATATCATTGCCAAGGTCAAGACCCTGGTCTTGCATATAAATTTTCGGGAGCCATATCTAGGTCTTTCATACAATTGACAGGGGCCACCCCCTGGTCTTCCTACATAACATAATCCAATGGGTCGACATTGGTGCCTTCGACGCACAAGTACAATGAGGAGACTCACCTGACTCACAAAATCATCTAAAGCTCAGCTCAATGTCACGTTGACCATAGCTAACGGCTCTCACTGCCAAATGATGGGATGTTAAACACCTCCTAACATTTCACACAAGGTAAACCCTAAGTCTACCTTCTAAAAATAGAAATTTGACCAAAAGTCAACCCATGCCAAAAGTAAACAGTCAAAGTCAAAGTCAACAACCCGCAATGCCAATTATCAGGCCTCACGTCATGACCAGTCCTTGGTCACATCGTGAGAGTCCAATCAGTCCGATTCCAACTCGACTCGGCCCAACTCAGCCAACTCAGTCTTGTAAAAATCATTTGAGTTGGACTCACAACGTGAACATCCTGCTATCACGACGTATGCCTCAAAAGCTCAGCAGAAAACAAGTTCTTTCATTCTCACGTCGTGAGACCTTGTGTCTCACGTCGTGAGCACAGTCTGAAGCCAAAATCCAAAGATTTAAGTCCTTAATCCATTAAGCATTTTACTCCAACTTTTCCAGAAGCCAAAGGGGACTCCAAAGGTCCATAAAAATTATTACTTTATGGACATGCATGCCTTATGCATGTCCTCCATTCATTCTAGGTCAAAATGAAGGGATTCTACCCAAAATTCTCATGTATGGATCCAATAATAAACCAACTCCTAGATCTGAACACTATCATACTCAGGGGACCCTTAGAAAGCATAAAGTTGCCAACTTTATGTATTCCTTCCTTTCAAACTGGCTTGGACATGAAAAAATGGGACAATAACTTAGATCTAACCACCTTAAGCAAGAAAGTTTGAGTCTTTTCCACTTGCAAAGGTCCAGAAACAAGATGAGATGATGATGATGATGTCTCCTTGTAAGCTTCATCAATAGAGCACCTTCTTCTCCTTCTTCTCTTCTTCTTCAAGCCACGAAATGCTCCAAAAGACCAAGAATCAACCAAGGAATTAGGGTTAGGGTTTTTATGAGGTAAAAGGGTGTTGGGGGCTGATAATGAACCCTAAAATGACTTAGAGGGGCTTAAATACGAAGGAAACCCTAAAAGGGTAATGGGTTTCGGTTGCAGCAGTTCTCACGTCATGAGCCCTTATGTCTCACGTCGTGAGATTGGTCCCGAACACAATTTTACATACTTACGCTTGTCACGTCGTGACCACTCAATGGTTTCGTCGTGACACTCGATTTTCTCCGAATATCGACCTTTTGACTCCTTGAAACCCTAAATCAACCCATCTTGGAAAAAGAGTGTTACAACTCTCCCTCGCTTAAATTAGATTCCATGCCCGAAATCATCTCCTACTACTCCCTCTGCTGCACCGGTCAAGCCTGTCCGAACATCCTGAGCTCTTAATTAGACTGAACAGTCATCTCTTACAGTCGACTGTCTTCCAATACTGCTATTAAATCCCATTCTTAGCAGAAATCTCTTATCCTGACGAAGAAGCGAACCATGTCATACCAACCTAACCAATAAAGAGTAGCCATCACTACTCTGCCCCAAATCTGAAAACCCCAAGACCATGTCTGACTTCCAGGCAGACGAAATCATTCCGATTCATGACCATAACGACTCCACTCTGCAACCCGGACCAATAAACTCCTCTGACATTGAATTATCCCACTGATACTGGAAAACAAAATATGTGTGCATTCGCCGACGCCGATAACTCTGCTCCTGAAACAAAGGCGACTACCAACACAAGTCTCAATCATTGGTGCCATACCAACGCATAATCACATCCTGATAATCAAACCTTCGCATTTTTGATCTATCCGAAACCTCCTGATTTCCGAGCTAACCTACCAATTAACTGATGTACCGAATTTCCAACCGGTTACTGAAGCCGATAGCCTTCCATACGACAGCACTATGAGACTCCAATCAAGAGTCTATCTGACAAAAGCTATCCTAGCTTGCTGGCCAACTTGGCTCCAACAGTCCTCAAGGGACGACATAATCGGCCCAGCTGCAGTCTTACATCACACCTGGCCCTAAATCGGCCTACAACCTTCCTCAATCCCATGAATGATGTCGCCCACCCACAGTCTCACAACCCTTCCTGCCATGGTCTAACTCTAACTAGTGAAGGCTACGAACCAAATCGTAGATTCACAACACTCTGATAACTGCTCATCGACCTGGTGAATGCTATGACCCACACCGTAGTCTTATAACACTTCGATACTG